AGGCCCCCCGGTTTTCCCTCAGGACGGAACGGGATGCCTCCAACTGGTCCACGGAGCGGCTGAAAGCTCTGCTGCTGCCTGTCAGGGTGGAGGGTGAGGAGGGGGCTTGCGAGGTGACGGAAGTGAGCAGACTGGACGGAGAGGCCTCCATCAACAACCGCAAAGGAAAGCTCATCTTCTTCTACGAGTGGGCCATCAAGCTGGCGTGGACTGGTGAGTGGTGTTCTCCCCTCCTGTTTCAAGGCCAGATTCGAGTAGAAGATTAAGGATACTTATTTCATTTGGGAAATAATAATAATAAAGGGAAGTTATTGTGTTGTGATACAAGTTTGCTTTTGCAACAACCAGAGTAAGAAATGTTGGTCCGAACATAATTGTAATTGCAGGCACCTCAAAGACAGGAGTGAAATACAAAGGTTACGTGGAGATTCCGAATCTTTCGGATGAAAACGATGTCGATGAAGTTGAGGTAAGCACAGCTAAAGGCTGATGCTGCTGGCTGTAGGGCTGTTCTAACAGGAATCCGCACAGCATTAATATTTCCTTTTTCTGGAACATTTTATAGAACTTCTCTAGTGTTAGAGACTGCTTAAGTTAATGGAATCATGGAGTGGTTTGGGTTGGAAGAGACCTTGCAGATCATCTGGTTCCAACCCCCCTGCCGTGCTCAGGGACACCTTTCACTAGACCAGGTTGCTCAAAGCCCCATCCAACCTGGCCTTGAACACTGCCAGGGATGGGGCATCCACAGCTTCTCTGGGCAATCTGTTCCAGTGCCTCACCACCCTCACGGTGAAGAATTTCTTCCTTATATCTAATGTAAATCTGCCCTCTTTCAGTTTAAAACCGTTGCCCCTCATTCCATCACTAACACTCCCTGATAAAAGAGTCCCTCACCATCATGTTGTATCTTTATCAAATTAATTTCTGTCTTCTAGATAGAAGGGCTCTGTAGCACTTTGGTACATGCGTACATTACTGTAGGCTGAGAGAGATGAAACGAAAGATGAATAAAACTGCACTGCCGCTTGTGAAAGTTTAGCTGAAGTCTAACTGTGATGTTGAATTGAGTAGTAAAAGGACAGTGCAGGTGTATGGCTTTATTAGTCAGCACTTGTTCTTCTTGTTCAGATCCATGTCAGCCTTGCGAAAGATGAGCCTGACACTAACTTGAAGACCCTGATGAAGCGAGAGGGTGCAAAAAAGATTAGAGATGCAATAAAAACTTACATCAGCACCCTCAAAACAGGTATGTAACTGAGGGGGAGAAGTCTTATGGGAACCCATATGGGCTAATGCTAAACAAGGGGTGGAGTTCACGAGAGGAGTGAATGTTAGTTCCTCACCCCCTCTGAACAGGAAGGAGTCAGAGCAACAACAATAACTTTTCTGTCTCTTTTGAAAACGGTTAGCATTTCGCAAGAAGCACTTCTGTCTCTAGACACTGTAGCACAGCCCAGAAAGATTGGTTTTTTGTAATAACACAGTAATAAATACCATTTTTGGATTTACGTTTTAAAACTGAGAATGTCCTTCACACGCTGAAGCTCAGCTAGAGAGAAAATAAAGCCAGTAAAATGTGTTTGGTAGCCCAGTGACACAGAGTATCAGTCACTGCATGTGGCATGATCCGGTCTTTAGTTTGCCAACTCCCTTGGAAGGTGATATCTTCACTCTAGTTTACTGTTTTTTCTCTTTTTCCACACTAGTAAAGGCATCTAGTGTTATTTGGATATGAGAATAACTGACAACTCAAAATTGCTCTGCAGGTTTTGTTGGTGTCGTTGAATGAGCTGTCTCAGCATCTGGATCAAAATTAATTTTTTTAGAAGATGAATCTCATTCCAGCAGCTGGAGCTGTATCAGTGTGCGTTGGTTGAGTTCGGCTTTGCTCTCTAGTACAGACTGGCAACGCTACAGTTGCTTTTTATATCCATTTACCTATATTACACTACACATGCCAGGTATTCAGATTTTGCTGAATACAAACCACTGGTTGCTGTTTTTCCAGGATCACATTTCTGTACCCTGGGTTTTTTTCAGGTGTTTTGGTGTTCAGGGTGGGAGAAGCAGTCACCCAGTGGAAGATGAGAACGTTATTCAGGAAGAACTGTATGATCTTGTGGGCTAGAATAAATAAGAATTAGGTGGAAACTAAGTATTGTGGGATACAAGATTATACACATGTAATGAAATTCTGCTATGTCATGGAATTTTGCCAGTTTGAACGGATGAGGAGGAAGGAGAAAGAGCAAACTGTTTTATAATTGGTGAAGGCAGAAGTTGTAGAGCTGGAGGAAAAAGTAGATGTGATGATGAAAGAGGCCGAAGCTTCTGGTGGAGTCGTAGACGTGCCAGTGCTGCTGGATGGGGTGCTGGTGAGCCCTCCCCTGGGCTTCTGTGTGTAGTCCTGGCATCTGGTGTCAAAAAAGATAAATGGAAAGTAGAGTTGGAAATAATTTTATTCTGTCCTATGATGGTATGAGGTATGGAGAGCCAACCTGAAAAGAAGTGGAAAAGCTTGGTTTGGTTTGTTTAGACCAGCACGATGAAAGTATTTGAGATGTAACTGTTATTTATACTAGAGAGCGAGAGAGGAAAAAAGCTACGTAAGTGTAAGGCTAATGTTAATGTGAGCACAACATGCAGAAGATGGTGATCGGTATGTCTAGGCTAGGAAAAGGGGGTCAGTTCCTAACTGTAGGCAGGTTCTGATATGGCCTTCAGTGGAGAGTAGTGAGGGCAAGAAGAATTAATTGCTTGTAAAATGACGTCTGTTTACTGTATTTTAAAACCATGTCAAGTCGTGGGTGCTAGCAAGAGCAGGGGAGAAACCAGGAAGCCCTTTCTGATTGTGTATTTCAAAGAACAGTTTAAAGATTTACTTGGTCTTATATTAGTTTCATGGGCTCATTCCTGTCTTTGCAGAATTCACCCAGGGCATGATTTTGCCCACAGTGAATGGTGAACATACGGAAACAACACCTCAGGTGGCTCCTAAAGCAGAAGACCGCAAGGTAAATAAAACTGTGCAGACATGCTTTTGGATCTGTGAAGAAAGGTGTACAGTGTTAGATTCTGGGCCTTACAGGAGCAACCTGTGCTGTTTATAGGATATATATATATTCAGGAGTTGGCAATCTGTGTCACAGGCCTGACTCTTTCGATTTGCAGCACATGATATTTCTTAATTCAAGCAGAGCGATAAATCTGCTTTTTACACTCAAATATGGTTGTACCTAATTACATCTTTACCAAAGGCATTTGTTTTTTTCTCTTGGGTATGTGAGCCGCTTGTTGAGTTTTTTGTGAAAAAACTGTGTGTGTGTGTGTTTTGCTGTTGTTTTGTTAGACGGCCGCTAGCAGCGGTACCGCCTCATCGCAGTCCAAATCCATAGGAGTCAAGATCCCTACGTGTAAGATCAGCTTGAAGGACACCTTCTTAACATCTCCTGAGGAGCTCTACCGGGTATTCATTACTCAGGAGGTAATGCCAGGCTGCTGCTGAGAATTGTTCTTTGCACGTAGGAGGGGTTGTTCCTAAGAAGCTTTTTAAGGCATTCTGTAGGATACTTGCAATCTGTGAGAACGGAAGAAGGAAGCTGGTCTGCAGGACAGTTGCTTAAAGCTTGTGTGTGTGTCTTTTCGCACGGTTGACAAGAGAGGATTAATGCCAGCCAGAAGCCAGTTCCAGACTGCTATCAGCACCTGTCTGTAGGTGTATCCCTTACTGCCTGTGGTCAGGTCTCTTGGGATTTACAGTTGTGTGCTTTTTGGTTTTGTTTTGGCTTTTTGCTTTTAAGGTTAGGAGGTATCAAGCCATACTTTGGGAATAGCTTCCACTCTCCTGCACACTATTATATA